CGTGGAGACGCTGGCCCGGGGCAAGGTGTCTACCTCCTCCACCCCCATCTCTGCCCCTGCCCTCCCCCTCGACCTGGGCTCCACCCTGGTTTATCCAGACCCAAGTCCCGCTCCTAAACCAGTCCCCGACTCCAGGTCATTTCTGTCCCTGCATCCAACTTTAGGTTTGACCTTTGACTCAGCCCTTGACCTCTAATCTGACTGCTAATATCCAACCTGTTTGACCTCTGAGCACTTCCCTCGGGCCTGGACTAACTCCGCCTTCAGACCACCCTAACCATATCCTGACCACCTGACTAGGAGTTTGCTCACTTTACTGATAAGCCCACCTGCTTGGCTCTAAACCCAGCAGAATCCTGACCTGGAACCCGGGGCTATAATCTCCGGCTTCCTGGGCCCCTATCTAACCCACCCTGCCCTCTCATTCGCAAACTCATCCTGACGTGTGCCCTGGGTGCCAGGCCAGCGCAGAGAAGCTGTGCCGGACATACGAGGACCAGCTAAGTGAGGCCAAGATCAAGGTGGAGGAGCTGCAACGGCAGCTAGGGGACGCCAGCACCCAGCGCGGGCGGCTACAAACCGAGAACGGTGAGGGCCCAGCCCGAGCTCGGCTGCCCCCACCCCCCCACCGGAACCTGCTTGACCAGCCCCACCTGCCCCTCTTGGCCCTCAGGGGAGCTGAGCCGCCTGCTGGAGGAGAAGGAGTCTCTGCTCAGCCAGCTAAGCCGTGGGAAGACCTCGGCTGCCCAGAGCCTGGAGGAGCTGCGGAGGCAGCTGGAGGAGGAGAGCAAGGTGGGCAGGCACTGGCTGCCACTGAGCTGGGGGTGAGGGTGGGGAGTTGTGGCTGGCCCAGTGGCTGGCCCAGTGCTGAGGTCCCGTGTTGCTGCAGGCCAAGAGCGCGCTGGCCCACGCCGTGCAGGCGCTGCGGCACGACTGCGACCTCCTGCGGGAGCAGCACGAGGAGGAGGCGGAGGCCCAGGCCGAGCTGCAGCGGCTGCTGTCCAAGGCCAATGCCGAGGTGGCCCAGTGGAGGAGCAAGTACGAGGCAGATGCCATCCAGAGGACAGAGGAGCTGGAAGAGGCCAAGTGAGTGCCCACCCGCCCGCCTCAGCCTGCCCCTGCCCTGAAGGCCCTTGTTCTATGGCGCCAAACTCTTCAAACCAGAAGCCAGCCTGAACCCGGGCCACTCCACTTGTGCCGTTTCCACCCGGTTCTCGAGAATGCGGGTGATGTAAAGGAAGCAGTGGCTGCTGGGTGGGCCGTGGTTCTGCCTCGGCTCCTGTCTGTGTGTCTGTGCTTGTGCCAGCCCCTCGCAAAGCCGAGGAAGCAAGTGCAACCTCTAGGAACGACTTGGGTTAGCAAACTGGGCCAAACCTAACCCGTCCTGACCACCTTTTTAATAGCTAGGTTTCTGGGCGCATAGCCCCCCGTCCCATTCATTCACATACTGTCGCTTATCTGACACCATCCAGGCAGCTGAGACAGACATCGGAAAGCCTAGACCACGTAGCTATCCGGCCCTTGCCACCACAAAGTTTGCTGACCGACCCGTGTGCACCAATGTTTTTGACAGACAATGGGGTTTTGCTCGAGCCCTGCTGGGGTCACTTGTGGTCAGCTCCACAGCCCATGCCTGTCTGCTCCTGTGGCCCAGGAAGAAGCTGGCTCTGCGGCTGCAGGAGGCAGAGGAGGGGGTAGAGGCCGCGCACGCCAAATGCTCCTCGCTGGAGAAGGCCAAATTGCGGCTGCAGACGGAGTCGGAGGACGTGACCCTGGAGCTGGAGCGGGCGACCTCCGCAGCGGCAGCGCTGGACAAGAAGCAGCGGCACCTGGAGCGGGCGCTGGAGGAGCGGCGGCGGCAGGAGGAGGAGACGCAGCGGGAGCTGGAGGCGGCCCAGAGGGAGGCCAGGAGTCTGGGCACAGAGCTCTTCCGGCTGCGGCACAGCCACGAGGAGGCCCTGGAGGCCTTGGAGACGCTCAAGCGGGAGAACAAGAACCTGCAGGGTAGGGCCTGTCCCTGGTCATGGAACCGCCCTGCGGCCGCGGTCACCTCTCAACCCTCCCAAGAGCACAGGGGTCTGGAGCCATCTGAGAATCAGCTCAGTCACACGGGCTTGAGGGGCTTGCCTGAAGTTGGGGGGCAGTCCCCCTGGACTTAGGTGTGAATGAGGAACCTGGGCTGGGCCTTCAGTGCTGTCTGTCTTGCAGAGGAGATCAGTGACCTCACAGACCAGCTTAGTCTTGGTGGGAAAAGCATCCAGGAGCTGGAGAAAGCGAAGAAGGCGCTAGAAGGGGAGAAGAGTGAGCTGCAGGCAGCCCTGGAGGAGGCCGAGGTCAGGAGCTGGCCGCAGGGGAAGGGGGGGATGGGTGCTGGTCTCCTCGACCCTGTGCTCATGGCCCCCGACTCCTATACTACCCACTGTCCCCAGGGGGCTTTGGAGCTGGAGGAGACCAAGACTCTGCGGATCCAACTAGAACTATCCCAAGTCAAGGCTGAAGTGGACCGGAAGTTGGCAGAGAAAGATGAAGAGTGTGCTAATCTCAGGTGTGGGATGCAGGGCCTGTCCATAGGCTCCCACACACCTTCCCCCGCCCCCCCACCTCCAGGGGAAAGCGGGCCACCTGTGCTTGCTGAGCCCCTACATCCCGTCTGCCCTCCCTGAGGACTTTCCTAGGTAGGGACCACTGCCCGTTTCGGAGATGACTCCCAGCAGGTAGAGGATGTGCCCCAAAATGGGTCGATCCAGTCCACCTATCTGCTCCTGAGCTTCCCTCCTCTCGTCCATGAACTTGCTCTGGTTGGGCAGCAGCAGGGAGACCGGAGGAGCCCATGTCTCCAGTCCTCGGGACAATTCCAACAGCTCCTCCCTCTGCCCCCACAGGCGCAACCACCAGCGGGCAGTGGAGTCCCTGCAGGCCTCACTGGACGCAGAGACGAGGGCACGCAATGAGGCCCTGCGGCTCAAGAAGAAGATGGAGGGCGACCTCAATGACCTGGAGCTGCAGCTGGGGCACGCCACCAGGCAGGCCATGGAGGCACAGGCAGCCACCCGGCTGCTGCAGGCCCAGCTCAAGGAGGAGCAGGCAGGCCGGGACGAGGAGCAGCGGCTGGCGGCTGAGCTCCGGGAGCAGGCGCAGGCCCTGGAGAGGCGGGCTGCTCTGCTGACCTCAGAGCTGGAGGAGCTGCGGGCCGCCCTGGAGCAGGGTGAGCGCTGCCGGCGGCTGGCGGAACAGGAGCTGGTGGAGGCCACCGAGCGCCTCAACCTTTTGCACTCGCAGGTGGGGACCCAGAACTCACGAGGATAAGTGGGTGGTGGTTGGGAGGCTGGCCGGCCCGCCCTGAGGCTTTGCTTCCCCCAGAACACAGGCCTCCTGAGTCAGAAGAAGAAGCTCGAGGTGGACTTGGCCCAGCTGAGCGGGGAGGTGGAAGAGGCTGCCCAGGAGAGGCGAGAAGCTGAAGAGAAGGCCAAAAAAGCCATCACTGATGTAGGGCAGTGCCGGGGCCGCGGGGGACCCAAGGCAGGTCCCAAAGAGCCGCCCTCCATGGGGACTGGTCAGCTCCTGACTACCACCTCTCTGCTCCCAGGCGGCCATGATGGCTGAGGAGCTGAAAAAGGAGCAAGACACAAGCGCACACCTGGAGCGCATGAAGAAGACCCTGGAGCAGACGGCGCGGGAGCTTCAGGCCCGGCTGGAGGAAGCCGAACAAGCTGCCCTCCGGGGCGGGAAGAAGCAGGTGCAGAAGCTGGAGGCCAAGGTGTGTGCCATGCTTCGTGGCCCCTCCCTTGACCAGGGCGGGTCAGCTCGAGGGCAGGCTTGGGCATCAGGTCCATCTGCTCCTCTTGAAGGTGCGGGAGCTGGAGGCCGAGCTGGACGCCGAGCAGAAGAAACACTCAGAGGCCCTCAAGGGGGTGCGGAAGCACGAGCGCCAGGTCAAGGAGCTCGCCTACCAGGTAGGTTCCTGGGTGCCCTGGCGGGGCAGCCCGGGCTGGCCAGGCCAGGTCAAACACGAGTCTCCTTTGCTCAGGCTGAGGAGGACAGGAAGAACCTGGCCCGCATGCAGGACCTGGTGGACAAGCTGCAGAGCAAGGTCAAGAGCTACAAGCGCCAGTTTGAGGAGGCGGTGAGCAAGTCCTCGGCGGGGTGCTTGTGGTGACTCCACTGCACTCGTGTGCTCTGGCAACTAGGGGTTCAGGGCGCGTGGCCAGCCCTGGTCCGTCTCTGGGCTGTGGTTTCCCCCAGAGTGGCCTGGCTGGGGGGACATGCACAACTGGAAGAGGCTCCATGTTCCCAGCTCGGTGACCCCATTGTCCTGGTGGATCTCGTGCGTGTCTCTGCTGGACAAGTTCTGCCACAGGGTCACCGCCACGTGTGAGGGGTGAGGGGGTGGCGCGGGCAGGAGCACCTGCGGGCAGTGGTCTCCAGAGCAGAGTTGAAGTGCCAGAAGCCCACCTCCTCTTCAGCATGGGTAGAACTGACATGGTCAGCTAAGGCCCTGCTGTGTCCATAGGAGCAGCAGGCCAACACCAACCTGGCCAAGTATCGCAAGGCCCAGCATGAGCTGGATGACGCAGAGGAGCGAGCAGACATGGCAGAGACACAGGCCAATAAGCTGCGGGCGCGGACCCGGGATGCCCTGGGCCCCAAGGTGAGTGGGGCTC